CAGCACCAGCACCAGCAAGAAGAAGAAAGCGCAAAATTCAAAAACAATCGATAATGTGTACAAACGTTATATGTGCCAAAATGTATGGGCTTAGAAAACGCGATGTGGGCGAAGGATAATTAATTTATGTTTAATTAATTAATGAAAAAATATATATTTCATATAGAAACTTTCAAACGGTACGGTGGACGGTCTTATGAAAGGCTAAATGACATTAAAATACAAAATACAATACATTCATCCTATATTTCTCTTTGTTGCCTTATAACTCGATCGATCACGTGGAAGAATAGAAAATTAAAAACAACAATAGTAACATTTTTGTGTTTTTTTTTTTTCATTGTTTAACATATAAAATAACAGAAGACACTCTCAATATGGATTTACATTTTTGCATACATTTTTCGAAATTAGCTTTATAAATATCATACATACATATATACATACACACACACACACACACGCAACACCCAACACCCAACACACACATACAAATATATACATTTTTTTTTTTTTTTTTTTTTTTTTTTTTTCCTTTTAAATAGCAAAAGAACAAATTTTAAACATTGAACTAAATTTTTTTTTTGCTTTGTTTTTGTTTTTTCATTCATTTTATTTTTTGTGTAAATGAAATATTTATGTACGCTTATTATTTTCCTAACAAATTTCACATATACTGGCTAACATCATGCATATAGAAGGTATATAAGAAATTCTTTTTTAATTCGGCTAAATTTTGCATATCCATCTATAAAGGATCTACTGTTAAGGGACAAATTTGTTATCAAATTTTTAGAAAAATATATATATATTTTTTTTATTTATTTTTTTTTTTTTTTGCCTAAATGATCTCTTATAAATAGAAACAACATGATTGTGGGCATAATAAAGTTTTAAGTACAGTAAAAGTTACTTATTCGCGCTTCCTTCATTCGCGGTTTCCATAATCGCGGTTTAAAAAAAATGCGATACAATTCCTCTATTCGCGGCTATAAATTTCTATATTCGCGGATTCCAATAACTACATAAATAAGAATAAAATGACCTGAATAGGTATCAAACCCGAATTCCGTATTCACGGCACGTATCTCTCGCGAATAAGGAACTTTTACTCTAATGCAAAAATTCGATTATCCTAACAATCGAGTAGATGTCTGGACTTGAAACTTTATATACGTTTTTTCATACCTTGAATTACTTGAATTATTAAAGAGCGCGATTCTCCTTCGAATAATTCGTTCTATTCAAGTAATTCATCAATCATCAAAAATCTTGTTGCCCACCTTTGCTGGACATGGACACATGTTCTCGGGCTATAGATATGCAAATTGAATGATTTTTGTTGTTGTTTAGATTCAAATTTTAGTCAGTTTTGCTGCTTATATGGAGCGTACCTTGCGAACACACACACAGAAGGATTTAAGATTAGAGTAGACTCACCTTTTATTATATCGTTCGATTCAAAATCATTTTCTGTCCTCGATAGAAGCATGTCTGTCTGTCTGTCTGTCTGTCTGACTGTCTGTCTATCCATTTAATGCCTATCCATGTATATTTGTATTCAACCTACAGATCGCGAATTTTGAAATATTTTTGCATTGGCCCCTGGCACAAACAGTTCCCAATATCACTTAAAAATACCCTACACTATTTTGCCTAATATAATTATCAAATACATTCATTTAAGATAATATTCTCTTTTCATAATAACGCTTATATAATGTAATGTTCAATATTCATAAATATATATAGAGGATACAAATTCGGTTCGATTAATTTTTATTCCAAATTTTATATTATCGACACATTTTCATTGCAATAGATTGAAAATTTGAAATTCTCGCTATGGTAGAATGGGTAGTTTTTATAAGGACCCTAGGTTGCACTTTCACGGCGATTCAATTTGCACTATTATGGATCAATTTTAACAATAAAATACTGAAAATTAAATCCATTTATCATATGAAATGGACCGTAGGAACAATGTTATGAGAAATGCTCCAATCCTCCAATTTCTCCATTTGATGCAAATTTTTTTCATCAATTTTGAAACGATTCAAATTTGGGATCACGTGTTTTTATTTTTTGCAATCCATCTTATACATACATATATATAAATATCATTTATATAAAGATTTTGTCTCGTTTTTTTAAATATTTTATAAGGAAAATTGGTTGTTAGCATATTTGCATCATATTTCTACTATGTGAGTCTATTTTTCTGATCACATCAGATATAACGGTACCCACAAAAAACATCCGATTGTATCGCAACAATATGTAATTGAAAAGAAGATTAATTAGATTAATTTTGCGCTCAATTTACCATTTACTCTCTCACTTTCTCTCCCATTTTAAAGGCGCCCACAAAATCCATACCTTTTGAATGGAAGCAAAATGTAATTTCTCGTATTTTATCACGAAAAGAAATGCAGAATTATACAAGACTAAGCGATATAAGGTAAGGTATCTAATGGTCGACCTCGTCCAATTATAATGTTCTCATTTGATTTTTTGCTTAATAACTTCAGCCAATATTATTATTTTAATTTCTTTTCACTTCACTTCTAGCGCACATATATACACCTATCAGCTTTTAAACAAAAACAGACGTACTCTCATATATTTTTCTTATCGGCCTTATTAAGACAATTGGAAATATCAAATGAAAAAAATTTAGTTCATTTTATTCATCACGAAAGAATAGGATTTAATGGATTTGTTTTTTTTTTGCCTAAAACATTGAAAAATACGCATCAAAGATTTGTTAAAGTACCTATATTTCGGATTTAGTCCGTCCGTCTACTTTCATTCGTTAATAGCTGGAAGGCTTGCTGTCGTAACATAGTAGGATAATTTACATTTGTCATATATCTGATTAATTAATTAATTCATATTAAATATAGAAATGGGCGTGGCTCGCTTGCGATAAAACAAGCAATTTAATTTAACAATCATAGAAAATGTCAATAATCAAATACATTTACAAATGCAATTTTAAAATTTCACTTCCATTATGGAAGGCGCTTCGGTCCTATGGCAAATTTTTGAACTAAAATTAACTACAACTATTTCCCAAATTCGCGCAAAAGACGAATAAAAAATTTACAAAATTTATGTATTGGCTTGAGATTACTTCTCTTATCTGCGCATTAGTCAGATTCCCTTTTCGAAAATTAACAAAATCGGAGCAAATATTTATTTGTCCACGATTAGCATAAATATCAAATTGCCTGCAAAAATTGTTGACAAACCCTACAGAATACGAATAGGTGTGAAAGTACTAGGTGTTTGCAAAAATTTTGAACAGCTTCAGCTACTTCTACAAATTAAGAATGATAAAGAAACGGGAAATACCACTGTGCATAACAATTGAATTCGATGTTTTTGATCTTCCCCTACATAAAATACCAGTTTTCCATATCATTTTATATTGATTTATGCAATGCATGCCCACGCTAATCATGTAACACTCAAAATTCTTCTTCTTCCAAATTCATTATTGAAGAAATCTGCTGCCGAAGTCCATCAAACACATTCACAGGATTGTGATGATGCTGCTCCGTCATATCCCAATTGTCGGTTTCGAGTGCGACGGCACGAATTGACTAAAAAAGGTCATTTTGGATACTTGTTGCAAGCGTTGCCTAGGATGCACTATTGCAGCTCGAATAGGAAGTTCTGCCACACCCAGCGTACTCAACAAATATGCCGTCTCCTACTTACCACTTGTTCAGATCGGTTCAACATGGCATGGCTGGCACGACAGGCCGTAAAGTTGAAGAAGAGCGGAAATGGGTCGATGGGTCGATCGCTGCCAAACTAATATAAGTTTTTTCGACATGTTATCGCCATTTTGCTCAACAATATTGGCAAATTTATTTGTTGTAGAAAATGACGGAAACTATCTTACTTAATATATATCTATCTTGTATCCATTTTTCAGTGAAAAAATGGCCAAAATTTTTTCAAGCACCATCGAGCGGGTATTAAAACATTCGACGTAAGCTAAATACAATTGTTTTGTTTTTTTTTTTGCTTTTCATACTATCGTTGCTTAATCTATTCTAGCAATTCAGATAATATTTTAATTTTGCTTAAAGGTTTTTCAATTAAACTTTGATGAAATACTGTTCGATTTTGGACGTTTAGTCGAATTTAGAACGCTTGATTGGCCGTGTGGGTAAAGGATCGCGGCTAACAACTTAATGATTATGAGTTTAAGTCTCAATTAAGGAGGAGTTTCCAATGAAGTTGATAGCCTGCTAGATGCTAGTACGCTAAGATTTAAATTCTACACAAATTAATTTCTCTGGCGCTTTTCTCTCAAAACTTTTTTTATATCTATTAATGATGAGATTAGATGAGATGGTTTGCAAGGCCTGGTAAACTCTGTCTTCGAAAACTATAATATAAATAGCGATTGTAATTGCGATTACATCCCAAGAAGTTTGTCTAAAACATTTTAGCTTAAGATCCCTCCTTCTGCTTAAGTATATTAAATTTTAGGTCAATTATGTTAAGTAAGAGTTTAAATATTATTTCATAATTCTCAAATGGCCAAACCATTTTCGTTTATATAATAAATCAAATCTACTACAATGAATTTTATAAAATTTCGAAATGTAATCTTTGTAAAGAACAAGGAACGTTGAACAAAAAAAAAAAAAAAGAAAAGAAAAGATTTAGTCTAAGACAAATTTATAGTTTCGTTCTTTCTCAATAAAATTGCGTGGAGAACAAAAAAAAAATAAATAAATAAATAAATAAATAAATAAATAAATAAAAATATTACTGCGAAGCATAATTGTCCAACGATAATACCTGTTTATTTTTATATGTACAAATGTAGTCTCCGTCTCTATCGGCACACCCAAAACAAACAAGCAACAAGCAAACTCGTGCATAAATAAGAAAGAAAATTATATGCACTTTAAGGTGAATCTTGAATACCCTCCATTTTAACAATAATAATCATTCCAGCCTCCTCCTCAAAAGGAGAAACGAAAACCAAATCCTGTTGAACCTTGTAGATAGATTTAAAGCGTATACATTAAATATGAGAGATAATAGCTAGGAAAGCCATATGCAACTTGGTTTCAAACTTTCAATATTTATCACTATATAGTTTACGATATTGGATTAACATATCGGTCATATAACGTATATGTCGGGCATATCGCGTTTCATATATATAAAACGCGATATGC